AAGATCTTGATGACTCAGATAACCACGATGGCATGATCACTCACCTGGAGCCAGACATCCTGGAATGCGAAGTCAAGGGGGCCTTAGGAAGCATCACTATGAACAAAGCTAGTGGAGGTGATGGAATTCCAGTTGAGCTATCTCAAGTCCTAAATGATGATGCTGTGAAAGGGCTGCACCCAATATGCCAGCAATTTTGGAAAACTCAGCAGTGGCAACAGGACTGGAAAAGGTCAGTTTTCATTCCAATCCCAAAGAAACGCAATGCCAAAGAATGCTCAAACTACCGCACATTTGCACTCATCTCAGACACTAACAAAATAATGCTTAAAATCCTCCAAGCCAGGCTTCAACAGTAGGTGAACCAAGAACTTCCAGATGTTCAAGCTGGATTTAGAAAAGGCAGAGGAACCACATATCAGATTGCCAACATCTGTTGGATCATCAAAAAAGCAAGAGAGTTCCAGAAAAACATCTGCTTTATTGACTCTGCCAACGCCTTAGACTGTGTGGATCACAACAAACTGGAAAATTCTTAAAGAGATGGGATATACCACCTCTTTAGCAGACCACCTGACCTGCCTCTTGAGAAACCTGTATGCAGGTCAAGAAGCACCAGTTGGTACTGGACATGGAGCAACAGACTGGCTCCAAATCGGGAAAGAAGTACGCCAAGGCTGTTTATTGTCACCCTGCTTATTTAACTTACATGCAGAGTCCATCATGAGAAGCACTGGGCTGGATGAAGCACAAGCTGGAATCAAGATTGCCGGGAGAAATATCAGTAACCTCAGATATGCAGATGACACCACCCTTATGGCAGAAAGGGAATAAGAACTAAAGAGCCTCCTGATGAAAGTGAAAGAAGAGAGTGAAAAAGTTGGCTTAAAGCTCAACATTCAGGAAACTAAGATCATGGCCTCTGGTCCCATCGCTTCATGGCAAATAGATGGAGAAACAGTGGAAACAGTGTCAGACTTTATTTTGGGGGGTTCCAAAATCACTGCCGATGGTGACTGCAGCCATGCAATTGAAAGACACTTGCTCCTTGGAGGAAAAGCTGTGACCAACCTATTCAGGATATTAAAAAGTGGAGACATTACTTTGCCAACAAAGGTTTGTCTAGTCATAGTCAAAGCTATGGTTTTTCCAGTAGGCAAGTATGGATGTGATAGTTGGAATATAAAGAAAGCTGAGCACAGAAGAATTGATGCTTTTGAACTATGGTGTTGGAAAAGACTGTTAAGAGTCCCTTGGACTGTAAGGAGGTCCAACCAGTCAATCCTAAAGGAAATCAGTCCTGAATGTACATTGGGAGGACTGATGCTGAAGCTGAAGCTTCAATACTTTGGCCACCAGATGCGAAGAACTTACTCATTAGAAAGACCCTGATGCTGGGAAAGATTGAAGGCGAGAGAAGAAGGGGCCAACAGGATGAGATGGTTTGATGGCGTCACCGCCTTGGTGGACATGAGTTTGAGCAAGCTCCAGGAGCTGGTGATGGACACGGAAGCTCGGCCTGCTACAGTCCGTGGGGTCGCAAAGAGTCTGACACAACTGAGTGAACGGAACCAAACTCTGCATATAAATTAAATAATCAAAAGCAGATATTTTTCTGGAACTCCTTTGCTTTCTCCATTCTCCATTCTCCAGCAAATGTTGGCAATTTGATCTCTCATTCCTCTGCCTCTTTGAAACCTAGCATATTCGGGTGTAAGTTTTTGATTCACATATTGCTAAAGCCTAGGTTGAAATATTTTGATCACTCTCTTTCTAGCATGTGAAATGAGTGCAGTTGTATGGTGGTTTGATCATGTACATGTGAAACGAGCGTAGTTGTACCAAAGTTGTACGGCACTGCCCTTCTTAGGGATTGCAATGAAAACCGACCTCCAGTCCTGTGCCCATTGCTGAGTTTTCCAAATTTGTTGACGTGTGGAGTGCAGCACTGTAACAGCATCATGTTTTAGGATTTTAAGTAGCTAACAGGAATTCTATCACCTCCACCAGCTTTGTTAATAATAATGCTTTCTAAGAGTTACTTGACTTCACACTCAGGATTTGTGGCTCTAGGTGAGTGACCACACCATCCATGGTTACCTGGATCATTAAAACCTTTTTTGTATAGTTCTTCTATGTATTTCTACCATCTCTTCTTAGTATCTTCTGCTTGTGTTAGGTCCTTAACTTTTCTGTCTTTTATTGCTCCATCCTTGAATGATTTGTTTTCTTAATATCTCCAGTTTTATTGAAGAGATCTCTAGTCTTATCCATTCTATTGTTTTCCCCTCTTTCTTTTCATTGTTCATTTAAGAAGGACTTCCTATTTCTCGCTGATATTCTCTGGAACTCTGCATTCAAAGATATACTCTGTTGGGTATATCTTTCCCTTTCTTCCTTGCTTTCACTTCTCTTCTTTCCTCAGCTGTTTGTAAAGCCTCCTCAACCACTTTGCTTTTTTTCTTTTCTTTTTCTCTGGGGTGGTTTTGGTCACTGCTTCCTGCACAGTGTCACAAATTTCCATCCATAGTTCTTCAGGCACTCTGTATATCAGATCTAATCCCTCGAATCTCTTTATCACCTCTGCTGCACAGATATAAGGGATTTGATTTAGGTCATACCTGGATGGCCTAGTGGTTTTCCCCACTTTCTTCTATTTAAGTCTGACTTTTGCAGTAAGGAGCTCACGATCTGAGCCACAGTCAGCTCCAGGTCTTGCTTTTGCTGACTGTATAGAGCTCCTCCATTTTTGGTTGCAAAGAACAGCCCGAGTCATCTGTTATATTGTTGAAAACGGGTGTTTGCTATGACCAGCATACTCTCTTGACAAAACTCTGTTAGCCTTTGTTCTGCTTCATTTTGAACTCCCAAGGCCATACTTGCCTGTTATTCTGGCTATGTCCTGACTTCCTGATTTTGCATTCCAATCCCCTATGATGAATAAGACATCTTTTTTTGGTGTTCCAGAAGGTGTTGTAGGTCTTCATAGAGCAGGTCAACTTCAGATTCTCAGCATCAATGGTTGGAGCATAGACTTGGATTACTGTGATGTTGAATGACTTGCCTTGAAAACAAATCTATAGCATTTGTTGTTTTTGAGTTTGTACTGAAGTGTTGCATTTTGAACTCTTGTTGACTAGAAGGGCTACTCCATTTCTTCTAAGGAATTATTGCACACAGTGGTAGATACAGTGATCCTCTGTATTAAAGTCACCTATGCCTGTCCATTCCTGATTCCTGAGATGTAGATGTTCAATCTTGCCATCTCCTATTTGACTTCACAAGATGGGAAGTTGACCAAGCCCAATTTACCATGATTCATGAGACAAACATTCCAGGTTCCTATCAGTGTTATTGTTTACAGCATCAGACTTTACTTTTACCACCAGAGATATCCACAGCTATGCATCGTTTTTGCTTTGGCCCAGCCACTTCCCTCTTTTTGGCACTGATAGTAATTGCCCTCCTTTCTTCTCCAGTAGCGTAAAGGATACCTTCTCACCTGGGGCGTTCATCTCCCATGTCCTATCTTTTTGCCTTTTCACACTGTTCATGGGGTCTCCAGGCAAGAATACCGGAGTGGTTTGTCGTTTCCTCCTCCAGTGTACCATGTCTTCTCAGAACTCTCCATTATAACCTGTCCATCCTGGGTGGCCCTGCACGGCATGATCCATGGCTTCTTCGAGTTATGCAAGCCCCTTTGTCACAGCAAGACGGTGGTCCGTGTAGGGGTGTTAGATATATGGTGTGAAAAGTAGGATTCATGCAAGAAAACGTTCAAAGTCTATGTAATAATAATGATAACAGTCCTGAGTAGCTAATATTTAGGTAATAAGCTAAGAAAAATATCTTAACAGGTTTAGGCAAAGTGTTAATTTTCTTAATATACACAAAAGCAGAGGGCATTGATAGGCATTTCTCTGAAAACCACATAATCAGTTAAAACATGAAAAGGCATTCAACCACTCTCATGTGAAAGAAATGCAGTTAAAACAAGAGTGGGATTTTTTTCCCTTAGATGATTGTCAAAAATTGAAGTTTGTTTACCATATTGGCAAATGTATGGAAGAGTCGTCACTGCTGTCGGGAGTTTAAATTAGGGTGACATTTTAGAAGTTGTTTGTAGTAAAATTGAACAAAACAATAAAATATACACAGTTGTTGGCCCAGCCTTTATACTTGATGTATAAGGATGATCTTTGTAGTATTGTCTAGTAAGGAAACTAAAAATAATCTCAATGTTCATACATAGGTTGCTAGTTATCTTGCCATGGTACTGCTGCTCGATTGAATAGAGCGCAGGTATGTTAAGAGAGAGAGCTCGCATGAGGGCAAAAGAGAGAGGGGGACGAGGAGGGACAGAGAGAGATGCACAGTTGACCTTTGCCCCGTGCAGGGGTTAAGGATGTGGAAAACCCACGTGTAACTCAGCATACTTCAGCTTGTACTCAGGCGCTCAGCTGTGTCTTTGCGAACCCATGGACTGTAGCTCACCAGTCTCCTCTGTCCTTTGGATTTTCCAGGCAAGAATCCTGGAGTGGGCAGGGCTTCCTTATAAGCTGTTCCTCCGTATCCACAGTTCCACATCTGTAGATTCAACTTACCAGGAATCATGTAATAGTATTTACTATAGATAGAAAAGAATTATGTCAAATAGACCCACACAGTTCAAACCTATGTTGTTCAAGGGTCAACTGTATATGTACTTACATATGGTATGTTAGTGAAGAAAGTAGGTTGGCTAATAGTATACATGGTACTGTCCCATTCATGTATTAATACTTAAATCTTCAAGTTTAGAACTGCACATTTTTGCTTCTTTACATAGAGAGTTTCAGGAAGGATACATGAAACATTTAACATTAGGGGAGAGGGGCAGGTGAAAGAGAACCAGAACTGGCGGAGAGTGGGGGGGATCCTTAATCCTCACGAGGTACCTTCTGCCATGCTGAGATGTTCTGTTTTTCACTCTCATCTCATGTCAAGCTTTATTATTTCAGACCAGCATACCCAGTGGAAGAATTAGAAGAAGAAACTGTTGCAGAAGATGATGCAGAATTAACATTAAATAAAGTGGATGAAGAATTTGTGGTATGTGTATAGCTGAACTTTTTTGTCCATTTTCACCTTTGTATCCATGTCCATTCTCTTAATTCCCCTAGACTTCCATTTTCTGGAATATAGTCTATTTCATTGTTTCTAGATTAAAAAAAAAAAAAAAAGCTGTTGAATGCAGTGCCAAATATCAGTTATTTAAACCTTTGGTTAAATTAATTCTCATGTTCACTAATGATTGTGGTGTGAGTTTAGCAGAGGTTCTTCAAATATAGACAGAAAATAGTCAACCACTAGTTATATAGGTAAACAGTTTGTTAACCATTCATGATCTTAAATAGACCATAAATAATAGAGAATTTAGAAGACAGCCATAGACTTTTGAATTAATATAGTCTGCCTCCTAAGAACACCATTCATTTCTCAGGAACTCCTTTATGCTTCTGAAATTAAGATGATTACCACCCTACCCTTCAGGAACATTAAAAAATACTTATAAATATCAACATTATTTAATTTGTTTGGCAACCTCTGGGCATATCCTCATTCTTAAAATTCTATCTATAGTGTGAAATTAAATGATCATGTCTTTATAACAGACTGGACTAGGAGAAGAGTAGAGAAAAAGAGTTCTTCCTCAGAACCAGAGATGAATTGATGCTGGTATTTTAGAAAGTATATATATGATTTAAAATGAAAATGGTGGAGAAGGAAAATGTTACAGTATATTTTACTGTCATAGACCAATTAAATTTTTCAGGTGATTTTTTTTTAATCAATAGATAAGATGTACATTTTGTATCTTAACTTAAAAGTAATTTATTATGCTACTGTAGGCTGCAAAGATATTAATCACTGCATTATTTTATAGTGAATGCTGAAAATAACCATTAAATAAACTAGACATATCCATATAGTAGAATGTCACATAGCCATTAAAAGAAATGTTTACAAAGAAATGTTAGTGACATGGAGATGATAACAATTATATGCACAAACTCAACTATGTAAAATACACAGAAAAACAGTTAACACCAATATATTAACATTAGTTACATGTGGGTAGAAGGATCATGGATGATTATTTTCTCTTCTATGCTTTCTATCTTTAAAGTTTTTAATGTATTTTATCAGTAGTATAAATATTTTAAACCATATGTGTTAAAAAGATGACTGCTATTGTAAACTCTGCTGCAATGAACATTGGGGTGCACGTGTCTCTTTTAATTCTGGTTTCCTCGGTGTGGATGCCCAGCAGTGGGATGGCTGGGTCTATGGCAGCAATAGACTGCCATAGACCAGTCTATGCCATAATAGGTCTATAATAGCAGTTCTATTTCCAGTTTTTTAAGGAATCTCCACACTGTTCTCCATAGCGGCTGTACTAGTTTGCGTTCCCACCAACAGTGTAAGAGGGTTCCCTTTTCTCCTCTCCAGCATTTATTGCTTGTAGACTTTTGGATAGCAGCCATTCTGACCGGCGGGAGATGGTACCTCATTGTGGTTTTGATTTACATTTCTGTGATAATGAGTGATGTTGAGCATCTTTTCATGTGTTTGTTAGCCATCTGTATGTCTTCTTTGGAGAAATGTCTCTTTAGTTCTTTGACCCATTGTTTGATTGGGTTGCTTATTTTTCTGGAATTGAGCTGCATGAGCTGCTTGTATATTTTTGAGATTAATTCTTTTTCAGTTGCTTCATTTGCTGTTATTTTCTCCCATTCTGAAGTCTGTCTTTTCACCTTGCTTATAGTTTCCTTTGTTGCACAAAAACTTTTAAGTTTAATTAGGTCCCATTTGTGTATTTTTGCTTTTATTTCCAATACTCTGGGGGGTGGGTCATAGAGGATCTTGCTGTGATTCGTGTCAGGGAGTGTTTTGCCTGTGTTCTCCTCTAGGAGTTTTATAATTTCTGGTCTTAGATTTAGATCTTTAATCCATTTTTAGTTTATTTTTGTGTATGGTGTTAGAAAGTGTTCTAGTTTCATTCTTTTACAGGTGGTTGATGAGTTTTCCCAGCACCACTTGTTAAAGGGATTAACTTTTCTCTATTGTATATTTTTGCCTCCTTTGCCAAAGATAAGGTGTCCATAGGTGTGTGGATCTATCTCTGAGCTTTCTATTTTGTTGCATTTGTCTATATTTCTGTCTCTGTGCCAGTACCATACTGTCTTGATGACGATAGCTTTGTAGTAGCTATCAGCTTTGTAGCCTGAAGTCAGGCAGGTTGAGCCCTCCAGTTCCATTCTTTCTCAAGATTGCTTTGGCTATTTGAGGTTTTTTGTATTTCCATACAAATAGGACATGGAAGCATCATAGATGTCCATTGGCAGACAAATGGATAAGAAAGTTATGGTACATAAACACAATGGAATATTAGTCATCTTTTAGAAAGAATGCATTTGAATCAGTTCTAATGAGGTGGATGAAGCTGGAGCCTATGATACAGAGTGAAGTAAGTCAGAAAGAAAAACACCAATAGAGTTTCTTAATGCATATATATGGAATTTAGAAAGATGGTAAGAATGACCCTATATGCGAGACAGCAAAAGAGACACAGATATAAAGAACAGACTTTTTGACTCTATGGGAGAAGACAAGGGTGGGATGATTTGAGAGTATAGCGTTGAAACATATATATTACCATGTGTGAAACAGAGGACCAGTCCAAGTTCGATGCATGAAACAGGGCACTCAAAGCTGGTGCATTGAGACAACCCAGAGGGATGGGGTGGGGAGGGAGGTGGGGGGGTGGGATTCGGGTTGGGGGACACATGTACACCCATGGCTGACTCATGTCAATGTATGGCAAAAACCACCAAGTATTGTATAGTAATTAGCCTCCAATTAAAATAAATAAATTGATTTTTAAAAGATGACTACTATCTATAGAAAGAAAAAGACCATTGTAAAACCACTCAGTTTAAAAGATATCTTTCTTAATGTGATAAATTTTTAAAGTTAAGGTAAAAATGGAGTCATTCATGTGTTTATTGAGCACCTGTTATGTAGCAAGCTCTGGGCAAGACCCTGGTGGAGCTGCATGTACAGAAACTCAGGAAGGAGGGAGCTTACCACGATCAAGGAGCTGAGAGAAAACCGCTGCGGCCAGCTCTCCTGAGTGAGGAGGAGAGTGGCTTAAGATTGTGTGCGTTAGTTGCGCAGTTTCGTATGGCTCTTTGCGACCCCATGGACTATAGCCCTCCAGGCTCCTCTGCCCATGGACTTCTCCAGGCAAGAATACTGGAGTGGGTTGCCATTCCCTTCTCCAGGGTTAACTGGAAAGAAAGACCAGGTCCAGATCATTTTGGTCATTTTAGGGAGTTTAGACTTCATTCTTTGTGTAATAAATCTTTCCATTCAGGCTCAAAAAATTTTAGGTCCTCATATAGTCCCTGTTGTTCATCTCACTTACTTTACTCAGATATTTCCTCATCTTGTTTCTTAGTTACTGTTTATTATTAGTAGTAAATAGTTTATCTACAGATACCTGGTCCTAATGCATCAATATTTAGCTTCAAAGACCTATAACTCAGAACATCTAGTCAGGGGAAAAAAGGACAAAAACCAAGTAATCAGAAGGAAAACTCCATGAGGGCATAAACCAGTTTTGCACATTTTTTGTCTCCAGTTTATTATGCAATGCCTGGTGCACAGTAGCTGTTCATTAAACATTTGACAAAAAATCATCGGTCAGCACATTGCTTGTGACTTTTAGAAAATAGAGGTTGGTTTGTTTGTTTGTTTTCTGAGAACCGTTTAAAGTTCAAAGCAGCACTGCTGTTTGTATAAATTAGAGAAGCAAACTAGAAAGCATCCTCTTCACACATTTCTTGCCAGCTGTGAAGTAAAGACCTTCTGCTGTCATAAGACCAGGCTGAGGCCTTCCTCAAAGGGCTGTGTCTGAGGCTCTTCATTCCCTTACGTCATGTCTCTTGAATTTTTTTCCTTTTCCTTCTTCCTTCTTGTTGTTATATTATTCTAAAGAGGCCTCTTACCTCTCCCATTCCTCTTAGTAAGGAGAGCTGGGTCAGTGCAAAAGCCTCTGGATGGTGGGATACTACTGCATTTTGTTGCCAGAGTTTGTGGGATAGCTCACACATGACAAAGATCGTTTCTGACGAAGTAAAGTTCTTCTGTGATCAACAAGAAACTCAAAAGCTTCTGTCTTAGACTGGTCAAATCAAGTTAGGACACATTGATAACTGGAAAGTGAAAGAGAAGGATGAGAGAAGGAGGGAGGGAGGATTGGGATCACGACATGGAATATTCTCAAAGAATATTCTCACAGAATGTCCTCACAGTATATAATCATATCCTTAGTAATTGGCAGTAAGAGAATTAAGACACATATTAGGCAAAGAAACGACAGGAAATTGTTGAGTACCTTTTAAATTACTGAGATTAAAATCCTCGTAATTTAAAACCATTTTTTGAGTCTGTATTCAAATTCATTTTGAATGTTTTCTTAATAACTTTTAATAACTTAAATTCTTTTTCTAGCACCTACTCTTAAAGCTTTTTGCCTAATAGTGTTCAATCGACCATGGTTCAACAAGTAACTTATTGATCACCTATGTAAACAGTACCAATTAGGTTATTATAAAAGCATTACAAACTCGTCTCTTCTCCCATCAGCACTGAGTCATTGGCATCGCTCTCATTTGCTCTGGTTAAGTACACCGTCATCAGTGCAAACACAGGATAGACTAAGCTGTTTCTCAAAGATGTGCATCTCCATATATGCTTAGGATTTAAGATGTAAGCACATCACTTTTGTCTACACGTCTAGGCCCCACTGCCTCCATCCCTAAAAACGTGAACATTATTTGATTGTACATTATCTGTGTTTATATTGTTTCATATTTTACTATAATCTTCCCAATTTCTCAAAGATTAACATAGTTCTAATGTCTCAGCTTAGTGGCCCCGCTCCCAGGAGTTTCTTTGTAGATCTGGGATGGTTAGATTACATTGTCACAAGCTCCCAGGTGATAACTAATGCTGCTGCTCTAAGAACCACATTTTGAGAACCACTGTCTTACATACTTCTAAGTGCTTAAAGATAAGGGTTATCTTTGCAGTCTACGACTGCAGCTTTTGTGCAGCTCTACATGTGAAAGTGTCCACCAAAGAACTCACTTATTTTTTCGTTTTTCTTTACAAGACTTTAGAACCAAGCCCCATTGGCCTCATTGTCATGTCTTTAAGCTTGGGATATTCTTGTTAAAATTGCTTCACCCACTCTGTCACTTGTCACCACAAAGACATTGTAACATTTTGTCCTGCCTGCTTATACAGCCTGCCCAGACTCTGTACTTGCTGTGTATTGGGGAGGAGATTGCTTGTCAAAGGATCACTTCTGACCCTGTCCCCCACATCAGTTGGGTCAGAATCAGGACCAGCTTGGAATCTACCTGAATTATCCTTTTATTAGATAGTTAATATCTAAGGTACAAAGTTAATAGCTAATATACAAGGTTAATATCTTACATCCTTATATAGAATTAACATTTAATATCTTTAAACCTAAGTATATTGGAGATGAGATGTCAAAAATATATGTTACTGTGATTGGTCCCTGGAGTAGATGAGAGTATTCCATATTTATCAACCTCTCATTTTTGTCCATTTTAGTCATCTTACTCAAAATTTCCATTAACTGTTGCTTATTCTGTCCTTATGTTTATTTATCCCTAGTTTCACAGCTCTTTTTTTTCTTAAGTGATTGTAAAAAAAAACAGGTCCTATTTTTAAATGGCATCATCAAAACCTCAAAAACAGATAACATAATGCCCTACTTTCTGCACACTACGAGGCTTTTAAATGTCCTTTCTTGGTTAGTCTTCCTATTGAGCTTAGCATAAGTGTTTGGAATTGACATGTACACATTGCTATATTTAAGATATATAACCAACAAGGACTACTGTAAAAAAAAAACCTGGAAATTTTTTTTTTAATTACAACTTTTATAAATATTAACTTTTAAACTCTTATTTTCCTAAGGAAGAGGAGACAGACAATGAAGAAAACTTTATTGATCTCACCGTTTTGAAGGCCCAGACCTATCGCTTGGTAAGTTACACGAGGTACATGCAGGGCCAGCAAGCAGTCAGTCCATGTATTCTGCTGGGAATGGAGGCAAGTAGAAATCATCGCTGGCCATTGTTCTGTGTATTATTTGAGAAGTAGCTCTTGAAATTATTTCCCTATACAGAAAATGTTTTAGCAAGTATAAAACTCAGAGGGGCAAGTGGAATAGCCTCTGGTCTATATCATGAAATATCAACTCAGCATCAATTTCAAGTTATTTTACATTATAATGGCCTGTCATGGTCTTCATTATAGGAAAATAGTTAAATTGTAGGTAATTCTTTGAAATAAAATGGATTATATTAAGACTGGTATATGACTAGATGGTCAGTTGCTTCAGGTCAGTTTTTGGTTTATTTTAATTAGGAAATAAGCCCAGTCTATAAAAGAGAACCCACTCGATGAAATAATTTCCAAGTACACTTGGGATTTTTGTATTTTCCGGTATGTATGTTGTATTTCAATAAAGTGATACTTATTGCATGCGACAAAAGTACATATGAAACAAAATCTTATTTGTCCTTTATTTAATTTTTCTCGTCTTAATTCTGCAAACCAATTGGATCAGTTTTGGGTATCATCATGAAGACTTCCTTGGCTACCTCACTCCAAGGTGGTCTCTTCACTTATCATTCCCTGCCATAGTACTGTTAGCATTTGTAACTGTTATTGACAACATGCGTGTGTTTTCTGCCCGACTTGAGGTGCATGTGACATAATGTGGCTGCCCTGCCTGACTGTGAGTCGTCTTCGAGACTTCTCAGTGCTCACAGGCACATGACTGTGAGTAGGCTTCCAGTCTTCTCGTGCCGTATCTTCATCATCCATTAAGTCAGAATACAACTATTGCCTTTGACAAAGATTTTCTTAAAGATTTAAAGGGTTACTGCACATAAAGCATTTATATGATGTCTGTCTGGCACATAGGAAGTACTTACAAGTTATTGGCAAAAACCAAAACCACACCTCCCCCCCACATTCCTTCTCTTAAATCTGACTTGTATAAGCTCCTTGGTAACAGGAATAACTATCATTTTTTATATTCTCCATAGTGTAACACAGAAGGTACTGACTAAATGCTTCTTAAATGAACAAATAATTATTTTGTTGCTCAATTGAAAATTATTTCAAAATAATATGTTAACATTTAAATACAGCCAAGCTTCAGTTATAACAATATACTTGCCGATCACTATAGTTTTCAGAGTACTTTAAAACACATCCTTTCCTGACCTTTTAAGGTATTTGAGAAGATGTTACCTCCGTTTTACAAATACAAAAAATGAAATTTCTAACCTTGAGACAGTTTAATCTTTTAAAAAGCAAATAAATTGCAGTGCCTTAATTTTAGCTCAGTTTCTTCAAACTCCCAAGTCTATTGCTTTTTCTCGTTTACCTTATAACAACGAGTTCAATGGTGTAGATTCCCCACTTAAGCAAGCATGCTTCGGTGCTTGGTGTTCTTGTGATGAAGATGTGATGACAGAGTCCCAAAGTGTGAAGAAAAAAACAAAACTAGAGTTGCATACACAGTTATTCTCATAAAGAAGTTGTTGTTTGTACTATTCATTCTTATACTGATGGTGTAAATAGAAGCCTGTGCAGGCCACCTGTGATTCCCTCTAGACTACGTAGTTTGAGTATTCGGAAGGAGCAAAGTAATTTAACTTGCCTCTAGCATGATTCTTAAGTCCTTATTGGTCCTACTTTCAATTTTTCACCTCCATTAAACTCTGTAAGGATGGGTTTTTGCTCTACCAGTGACTTTATAAATGATCTAAGTATTAGATCCTTTGGTCAATAGTTATTCATATACAAGCTAGACTTTTTTGAGCTAAGACTCTATGGTTGCGTTTTCACAAGAGGAAAAAGTCTGAACACCAGGTGTTTGTGGTTGGTCAGCCATGAAGTACTAATGAGGCAGAAAACCCTTTCGTATTTAAAAACTCTGGCAAGTTTATGATGTTGCCCACTAAAGCCATCTGCCGGAGACGGCTGTATCTGACTGCAGCTTGCAGTGGCTCAGGCTGCTCTTTCCCTAAGACAGAACTGCTGTATAGTTAGTAACACAGGTTTAAGACGTTATGTTTCATGAAGCGGGTGTGCTCACAATGCAGAAGAAATGTTAGGTCACTCAAGTTGACGTGATGAATTCGTCGCTAGAACAAGAGTGGTGGATTCTATCTAGGAAATTGATTTCCTCAGTGTATACGTGACTGTGCCAGGCCAGCAGCGTGTGGCTTACAGCAGACCCCTCTACCTGTGGTTTTGAAACGTTAGATGCTTCTCCGGTCATTCTCTGTCTCCTCCCCAGCTTTATGGTTCTTCACAGGCTCTGGCATTATACTCATCTGACTTGTTTATTGTCTGTCTCAACCAGTAGAACGCAAACTCCTCCAGAGCAAAAACTTTTTAAACTGCTTTTTCACCTACCTGTGCCTGTTGTGCAGAACGTGCTCAATAATGAATAATATTAAATGAAAACACGTGTGAATGGATGCTATTTTATATTTATAATTTTATGAGAAAGTATAGTTTAATCTTCATAGAGAAGAGAATCTCTCAGCAATAATTGGGTTCTCTTCTATGTACCAGGTAGGATCATGCAGGGAGAAATCTGCTTACATTCCTTTCTTTCATTTAATAAAGCGTAGTCTAGACCCTGAGAAGTTTGCTCTTAAGGATGGTGTAACTCGAGAAGCTGGGTCTCCATGAGCATTTTCCTGAGACTTGTGGTAGGAACAAGAGAGAAGGCAATGAAGCAGATATATGTTGTAGACTGTGTTCTCTGGAAGTTGACACTGAAGACAGTTTGGGATGCAAGATGTCGTGGTGAAAAGACGGGGGGCAGAGGGGGATGGAGCTGTGAGTCAGGCCTGACAAAGCCTTGGCCAGCCTGCTGAGAAGCTGTGGGGAAGTGCGGACTTGGTCTCTGGAGGCAGGCTGCCTGGGAAGGAGGCAACCCCAGGAGCAGTAGCTCCGCACGTGGGGCAGAGCCCGAGGGAGCCGACAGCAGGAAGGCCACTTGCTGCCCGGCTGAGCACAAGTCCTTCCTTGGAAGAAATTCAAGAGCTCCGGCGTCCTGACCCCCACTAAGTAGCTGAAGCCCATAACAGCTCATTTGAAGAAGCTGTAAAGAGATGCTGTGTGCCCATTGACTAAACTTTGCAATGTCTGCCTAATTAGAGCGTGATGCGGCAGCAGCATTTCATGAACACGGAAACCAGGGTTCTAAGAAAACGGTGCTTCCTATCAATCACGAATGCTCGTGGTGATGGCATTGGCTTGTGTGGAAGCAGGTGTTTTTCAGAATAGTTATCTACTTCAAGGTTTAAAAAATATACTTTGAAGCCATTTTTGCTGTGATTTCCTCCTCCAGTCTCTTAACGCATTATGGTTTTACCAATAACACAGGTTTACCTCGCCTTCTGATACTTCACTGTATTGTGCTTTGCAGATACTGCATTTTGCAAGATACTGATTTTTTTTTTTCCCACAAATCAAAGATTTGTGGCAACTCTGCATCGAGCAAGTCTGCTGGTGTTATTTTTCCAACAGTATTTTATCACTTAGTCTCTGTGTCATATTTTGATAATTCTAGAAATGTTTCAAACTTTCCCATAATTACTATATTTGTTATGGCAATTTGTGATCAGTGATCTTTTGTTTTTATCCACAGTCTTGATGTTACCACTATGACTTGCTAAAGGCTCAGATGACAGCATCTTTAGTGATAAAATCTTTTTTAATTAAAGCATGTACATTATTTTTTAGACATGATGCTGTTGCACACTTACAGCCCACAGTGCATTGTAAACACACCTCTTAGGTGCCCTGGGAAACCAGAACAGTTGTGTGATTCGCTTTATTGTGGTATTCACTTTATTGAAGTGGTCTGGAGCCAAACCTGCAACATCGCTGAGGTTTATGTCCATACTGTGCAAGAAAACAACTCCTGCAACTAGTGAGGGATTGCTTTTATATTTTTCCAGAGTTTGATTTGCGGGTTACTTGTTTAAATTTTGAATTTTTTCTTAGAAAGAAAAAAATTGCTAGCCCCCAGAGTTCCACATTCTCTTGGTCCCTCTGGTTTCCCAACATCTGAAATTGAGTAGAAGCATCTGTGAGGGTGGCCATGGGGTGGGAACACTAATGAGTGAAGCTCTGACTGTGGGGCAGAGCCTGTGAGGGTTAGTGATGTGGTAGAATGTTCAAGGATGTGAGGGGTGGGAGCAGGGAAGGAAGCGAGGTGTTCAGCAGGTGTTGTGGTTATTACCATTTGAAATTTGAGCATGCTGATTGGAAAGTGCCTGCATGTTCATGGTAACTAGGCTGTAATTATGAGTGGTCTCTGAAAAACCCATCCATTCTGAAGCTCAACAGAATCCCAGCAGTAGTGATCTGGCAGCATAATGCAGATGTCTCATTCTTCTCCCCCAGCAAAAAAAAAAAAAAAAATGGGAGGGAAGCTGCGCACTCTCTGAATTCTATTTTTAAATGCCCATCACTTCATTTCAAAACATTTTTTTCAAACATGCCATAGACACCATTCTTCCTTGAGATGCTAAATTTAAGGTTTTAGAAATCAAATCCTAAGTTATACAGCACAAAACCAACTCTCTGAAAAGGTTTAAACACAATTGGTTTTTAATTGCTTAGCAAAAAATTCATTGTAGCAAGAATGAGAATTTTTAGCTTAAAAGGCAAAAGCTGTAAGGAAGTAAGCCCATCCTGTGGGCTTAGGATGATAATCATCTCCGTTGTAGTTGAGGGTGTCATTGTGGCAAGTCTGCAATACTGTAATCACAAAGGGGGAGAAGATGGGTCTACTTTGATTAATAACTTAAATTACATCTTCTTCACTTTACCTATGGTTGACACTTTGCTGTTCAACACAGTGTCTTTCTGAGTAATACGAGGGAAAATACACCATGCTCCAACATGACGTGCCCACGGCTTACCCCTGGTTCTGATTCCTGCTT